TTACATAATTTGTACAGTATTCAATTTTATATTGTAGCTATGGCTAGCCCCATAGAGGCCTTCTGCCTTCAGCCTCAGATTTTTCATCCTCTTGGTCTCTCCTTCTTCTTTTTAGTAATGTAGTAATTAAGGTTTTATATGTTTATATATTTTATGTTTTAATGTTTGTTGTGAATCGTCCAGGTTCCCCCATTGGGGGGAGATGGATGGTTGAAAAATTTAATAAATAAATATTGGGTTGGAAAGAGTAAAACAGACTGCAACCTTAAGACTATTTCTAGCATCTAAAAGCAGGGACTTAATCTGCCTTTCTTTCTTCCTCAGCAAATAAAAGTCAGTTAATATGACAACATATCTATACTGTAGTCTGTCAATACTTGCCTTCCATAGCCCTAAACATATTTATAATCCCATCTCTCTAACATCTTTTCTTAAATTAGGACTCTCTGAGCTTCCTTTGGGCTTCTCAATACCCCCCTCCCTCTTGAATATAAACCTGGAGGAGGTATCCTGCATGGACATGCTTTGATTAGCAGTTCTATTACTCAATCATCAAAGCTTGATATCATGCAATTGTGGTAATATATCTGATTTATAATGTATTACTGTGTAGATTTTAAGATGCCTTCTGAAAAATTATCATACACAATAGGTGGTGAAATTTGAAAATAATTAAATTATTAATGTTGTGGCAGTGTTTTCCCTAGCCCTACATAAATTATACAGGTTGTCCCCAGGTTAAGAACGCCTGGGCTATAGATGACCCATAGTTAAGAATGGAGCCTACTGTAGCAAAATTTGAGTTAAATACACAGTGGTTCAAGTTCATTACACAAATACTACTTATGTATTCTAAGTACAGCCCCTCACCCTGCCAGTGTTGCACAAAGAACCAAAAGAAAGCAAAACAATACAAAACTAGATTAAAATGTGGAGTCCTAACTCTGCGTTCAAGAGGTTTTTGCACCACAAATTAAGCTAATTTAAGCTTGCTTGTATGTAACTTAAGTTACCTGTATCCAGACATCATAGTTTGTAAAGTATGGCTTATGGCTTCATTTGTTGTGCAAACCCTACCAATTTTGGCTTTCACAATTCATTAATAGTGCGTTGTGTGAACACAGCCAGCGTCCGGCTTGGGTCGCTTGCATCTGACGCATCTTAAAGCACTTTTCTGCAGTGCCCTTTTCGCCATTCGGGACTGTGCCCATCTCGAATCCTGCCAGTGTCCTGTTCCCGTCCAGCACGTTCAGAGGGCATCAGGTTGGGAAAAGCGGCTCTGACTGGATTGATAGGGGTGGATAACCCCAAGTTTGGCCCGGAATGATCTGTCTCTTTCTCTCTCTCCCCCTCCAACTTCCTAGTACTCCGACCAGTTAGGATCAGGATAAAAGCACTTATGTGTGCAAATGAATCGATCTCTTACGGTCCGCGGAAATGGACTAACAATTTTGTGATGACTGTTAGGAGTTCGAATTCCAGTTGCTCATCCAATCCGCTGTCCGTTTTCATCCACCGCTTCCAGCCGGGCTGGCGCTGCCCACCGCCTCCCCTCCCCTCCCGCCCCGAGCGAGCGAGAGAGGTCGTGAGGGAGCGCGTTACCCGGCATGCAGCAGGCAGTGCGTTCGCACCAAGATGGCGGCGCCTCTAAATGAGTACGAGAAAGAAGCAGGCTGCGTTCCTATTTTGCACTCGGAGGTGAGGCCCTATGGGTTTTCGGCCGTTTTGCAGCCCCAGTTGAGAGAGAAGGATCCGGTCGAGCGAACGGCGGGGGAGGAGCAGATACCGGTGGCTGCCGCCGCCTTCCTTGACACTCCCTTCTCGGGCGGGGGCGGAGGATGGCCCAGAGGCACGGGAAGAATTGTCAGAGAGAGAGAAGCGGTCGGGGTGCCTTGTTGGGTTATGAGATGAAGGGAGGTGGGTGTAGAAACTCTTGTCTCTTGTGGACAGAGGATAGGGAGAGAGATTTTGTTTCCGGCTATTCCCCTTTTTATTATTCGGTTCTCCATATAGAAGGGAGAGGAAGTCGGTTGAGGTGGCTATTCTGAGCTTGCGCTCCCCCGGAGTTGTCTTTTTCTTCGGTGTCCGAAGGTGTAAAAGCTTCTCTGTTCGCTCAAAGGTGGTGGTGGTGGTGGT